TTTTTAACATAGACACAGTCACGTTAAGTCCATTCTGCTTCACATGCTCCATTACTATGTTCTCTCATCATAAAGCAGATAGATACATCCAGTCAGCTGAACAGGTAACCATTTTAAATTGCACTGAGTAATACAGTAGTGTCTGAAATAATTTGTTAGAATTCGTTAGTGGGAAATTCAACCCCCTGTCATCTTAGACATGACTTTCTTTAATGGAGGTTCCCTGTGGGAGCTTGCTCCATTTGCCAGCATGTAATTATTTGCCTGTCCTCTGACACAGCCTCTTTGGCTGTTGTCATCAGTAGACCTTACCTTGAGACAGCACTTGGAGCAGATACTGAGTGGCCCAGATAGGGTCAGCGAGCAGAACAGGATAGTGTAAGGCTAGCACAAAGGTAGCAGCTTGCTCATTGAGCATATTAATATTCTTTCTTTAAGTGATTTTAACATCATAAGGGGACAAAGTGTCTGAAAGATGAAGTGACAAGGTAGCCAAGAAAGGAGCAGTGAGATGTGAGATGTGGTGGTTGGCAGGTCCAGATGAAAGGCTGTGCCACATGCTGTTCAGAGCAGTGTAGTGATGTCAGAAGGGTCCTGGACCTCCTCCTCACATACACATGCACACATGAATGCACACGTGCCACTTCTTGTGCTCCTCTTCTGACACAGTGTCCAGGGTTAGCTTATGTCTAACTGGTGCAGCCAAATTCCCCAGGGAGTCAGGCTGACAGCACGGCTGTCTGTGTTTTCCAGGCTCTTCACTGAAACAGAAGCTAGTGCTGCTTTGGTCCACTGAAGCATGCAGCCAGGTAGATTAACCAACAGCGCAACCCTGCTAATGATCAGACAGGATCGTCACGCTCCTAACTGAGCATACTTCTTATTGTCAAAAGCACATGCAGGCTGCTTCATGCCCCCAACCTCCTCTGCTCTGTCTGGAAAGTTAGTGGATTTGGTTAAAGCTGTCTCTCCCTGAACTGTACCAGCCCTGCTGTTACTGCTAATGATCGCCTGTTGGCTCTGCAGGCCATCACACCTGTACTCAGAGTGTGCTCAGTCGCCCACCACCACTTCGTGGGAATGGGGATAACAAACCATGAGTGTATTTCACCAGGCACCTATGATAAAAAGTAGATCAGCCAAGTGAAATGAAAGCTAAGCAAATTCAAATACTTGCAAATACCATGTAAAGAGCATTGTTGGAACTCTGCTGTTATACTGCTCTGTTACTGCCAGTAATCAGTGGTTTCTCTGAAGTAGCTGGAGAGCAGCCTTGTCTCATTGTGGCTTCTCCATCTCCAAGTCTCTGTCCTTTACCTCTTATCTGTGCTGTATTAGCTTTTCATTGGTCATCCAACAGCAAACTCACCAGACACAAAGTAACTAGTGGCTGGAAAACAGAGTCTTCTGGGATTTTGTTTGTTCTTGTATGTCCTATTTTCTCTTTATTTAGCAGGAGAGCCTGTTAACCCTTTCTCATTCTTCCAGTGTCCGAGTTGCTCAGAATTAGGCAGTTTTGTAGGATCAGCATCAATTTTCCATCAAGCTGCATTGCCTTCATGGAAGTTCATTGCACGTAATGAAGTACTGCAGGCAGCGCAAGCAGTCACAGACATGAAAAGCCTTTTCATATCTAGCATCGACCACCAACTGCTGAGGACAAAGTATGCCTATCCCCTCTGGTGGGACTATGCCCTCAGTGTCTCAAGCTAAACAGTGGCATTGAGGTTAGGGGAGATATGGGAACCAAGGTCTCATCTAAGTCCAATGGGAAATACTTGACATCATATCAGAGAGTGTGGGATGACTCCAAAAGAAAGAGCATCTTAGCTTTTTGTTCCCTGAGAATTGCCCAGGTGCGTAGTTGCCAGGTTTCAGCACAGAGGTTGGCACAGCTGGGTCAGTGGAGGGTTGTGATCTTAGAATTCATGCTCATGTGGGTGTAGCGTCAGCCAATACGGCGCAGACTTTAAAGAAAAATGCCATTTACTTATCAAGGCTGGATTGTGGTTCCTTCTCACCTTGTCTTTACTGTTCTGGTTATGTATCTGCTTGCAGATTCTATGGGAACTACTTTAATTTGTGAAATTACAGGGTTTTGGTAAAATGTCAGACCCTGAAAGCAACATCTTCAGAAGTGCCTAAATCAGTCATATTTCTAAAAAGAACTCAAGTACTTAGAGTTTGGGAACCTGGCCTTCAAACAAGTGCCTAAGGACAAAAACTGGATGAGCTGGAAACCTGGGAAGGAACTTACTACCTAGAGATGGGATTCACAAGCTTCACCTGCTACACCAGGAGGAAGCACCATACATAAAATGGACACTGAAAACCTCCTTCCCCCATTCTGATGGACCTGATGGTTGGTGTGCAAGGCTGGAGTTTATAGCCCAGAATTACTGCAAGAGATTGGCACTCAAAAGCTCCCTTGGGTGATGGTAGAAGTAGCACTAGTTTATAATACTTGTAAGGCTCAAATAGTGTGTTACTTTGCCTCAGAGCCTGAAGTGACTCATGCACATCACCACCTTCCAGGAACTTGTCCTAACACACCAGAGCTGAGCAGGCCTCCTGTTCTTCTTGGTAGTCATTGCCTTTTGGCCATCAGGGACTCAGGATTCGTAGTATCCGAGAGGGAGATGAAATGTTGATTCATGCTTAAGAAATTTGGCTGGAGACGCAGACATGGATGTTCCTATGCGCTTGGGAAGGTTCACTCCAAGCCACTAAATAAGAGAAGAAAGGGGTTATATAGGAAATCTCGTGTCATTCAGACCCACATGTTGCAGTAGCATTCAGTAATAGCATAGAAATAGTCATGGAGAGACCTGGTGGAGGGAAAAGACACTTAGCAAGAGTCCAGATTCATCAGGCAAATGAGTAATCTGAGTTGGAGAAGAGCATTAGAGCTTGTACTGAGCAATCGATAGAAAGCAGAGAGTGACGGTGCATTTAAAAGGCTCAGGAAAGCCTTAACTACTACCTTGACAGAAAATGAAACCTGTAACCCTGTTTCTGAGTCAGGTGCCCTTTCTGAATTATACAACTTCCTAAAGTATTGGCAGATTGTCTCAGCCCTCTGTATGTGTGGTCAGCACTGGAGCTTCTGGCGTGGATAATCATTGGAAATTGGTTTGTATTTAAGGTTGTAAACATTTGCCTCCATGAAACCCCGCTTTATACCTGTGTCTGAATAGAAAAATTCACATGGCTTGCAAAATACCAACCATTTATTCTGGAGGCAGAGAAAACCAATGCATTTACAAGTTCCAGTTCTGAGAAATTACTCTGATAAAAGGTTTTGACTTCGATCCTGTATCTGTCTCTTTGTTGCTCATGCCAAAGAGAGTTTTTAATCCGATCCTTTTCCTGCCTAGTTCAATGATTATTTATTCACCTCTGCTATCAGCAGGAGCAGGGCTGGGCATGGTTTGTATGAGTATGTACTCTTCCCTGCAAGTTCCTCAGCCGTACCATGATATCCTCACCATGATATCTCAGCATCTCTGCTGCTTACTTGTCCCTCAAAAAAGGCATCCTTGGACATGTGTCCACCTGCTCTTACCTGTGTGGAAAGGACAGGGATGGCCCATCTTGCACTTGCACACCGTGGTAGGCACTCCGCCTTCCCATGACAAGTGGGAAAAGGTGCTTTAGTCTCCGAGGGGAATAAAATCTGCAAGAGGAAAAATACGTCACAACATTTCACACACCGCAGGAAAAGCAAAAGGAAAACAAATTCACTATTGTAGTTCCTCAGCCAGCAGTCTGGTAAACCCCTGTTACTCAGGCATGACTCAAAAGTAGTTCCCAACACTTTATCACACTCTGGAGAATGGTTTTAATCAAGCACTTTCCTGCCTTGCTGGCCCCACTCTCAGCTTTTCCCGGCAAGTATTGCCTGGCATTGAAGGAAGAGATTGGGGCATTTAGCTCAACTTTTGTGGCTAATTGCTAACTCAGCCCAACTGATTTCCCACAGGAGACAAGGAGGGACTTTGGATCAGAAAACTGAGTATCAGTTGATATGATAACCATCGTACACGGGCTACTGTCCCTGCCTGAGTCAGGTCTGTATTAATACAGCACAGACACTGCATACCTGCAGAAGTCTTAGCTTTTGGACCCAAATTCTAGTTGTGATCCTGTGGTGAGAAGTTATTAAAAGAAATAGTCTCTCCTAAAGAAGCTAATTTAAATGCCTTCTTGTACTGAATACATGAAGAAAGCTTGACATACCGTCCACATTTTAAGATACATTTCAGCAGCAAGCAGAACACAGTCTGAAAATTTAAGCAAACAATATGCTGTTTAAAAATACAGCTGCAAAAAGTTTCACTTTTTTTTAAATAAAGAAAGCAAGCTCCCAAGAATCAATGTGAGATAAAAGAGAAGGACACACAGGGGACACCACAGATTGCCAGGATGAGAAGCAAGGAAGACAGCAACACTTTCTGCTGCAGGGTGTGTTAGTCTGGTGAGTTACCATCTAGGAAAAGTGATAACTCAGGCCTGGTGTCAAGCTAGGCTGGGCTAACACTAACTGGTGTTGCTGGTCTGATGGAAACACTTTTCTATCCCCTCTGGGGCCCTTAGGCAGCAGCCTCAATAGGAGGATAAAGGTAAAAGGACAAGTTCTCTTGCCCAGCACAAAGCATAGTCTTTGGGTCCATGCAGCAGCTAGAAATAAGGTTTCTGCTTTTTGTCTGCCCAAGCTGGGTCTCATCCAGAAGCTCCGTGACCATCTTCATGTAGCATTGTCAACAAGCTGCTGTGAATCAAGGTACATTAGTTTTAGCCCTTGGTGACCTTGGAGGCAATCGGACACAGCTCATCCAGCCTTTGCAGTGGCCCTCCTTGAGAGATGGAGAGCTCACATCCTTTGCTGTTACTTCTGCTATGTGTTTTGCTGCTATCAAATCAGAGTTTCTGCAGCTGTATGCTGGCCCGCCAGGCTGTTGCCCTAATTTTGCTTTTCCCATTTGTATCTCATATTGCAGAGAAGCAGAGGGAGCTGGCTCGGAAGGGATCCCTGAAGAATGGCAACATGGGAAGCCCAGTTAATCAGCAACCCAAGAAGAACAACGTGATGGCACGAACAAGGTAAAGGACTGGAAAAGCACTCAGCTGTGTTCTAAGCTTCTCTTATGGGGAGGGAATCCCTAATGGCCTTAGGATGGACAAGGACGATGTTCGTTGCCATGTGCCTACTGTGAAATGCTTTGCAAGAGCAGCAGTCACCCTTCCCAGAGCTGGCAGGCCCAAATGCTCTGTGTTGTGTTGCATCCTTTACTCTGGGGAGATGCAGGGACAGCTGAGCCCAGAACCCGTGACAGTGCAGCCTGCAGGAGGCAGAGGCGGCCCAGCCTGCTCAAAACCTGGGGTTTGATATGACTGCCTCCCATGTTGTAGGTAGAGTCATGTAACACATAATCTTGCCAGTGGGAGAAGTATGATGCTGCTTCATGTAACGCAAACTGGTTTAAAGCTTAGTTCTGCCTTTGCTGCTTTTATCGCAGTAGTTCCCCTGCTCCTTTTTGATGATGACCCCCTTCCCCATACTGATGGACTTAATAAGTCTTGTTAATAATCCATCTCTGTGTGCTTTGCTATACACCTTCTCCCCACTTTGAACAGCATGGTCATATTTTGCTGAAGCTGCTTTGGCACATCTCTGTAGTCAGTATCTGACAGTGCTACAAACTGCTGTAAACAAAGACATTCGTAGCTGAATGCTTTCTTTAAGAGTATTTCTATTTTTGCCGTCCAAGCTTCAGTACACTAATGTATTAGTTGCTAGCATTCAGGAGGCAGGAACCCCCCTGAGCCTGCAAGATTGCACACTTTGCATTCTACAAGAAAGGTGGTGGGTTTTAGTGGAGGACCTAATTTAAAATGACAGAAGAATCTGTGTGAATGCTGGGTGTTTCATCATGAATGGGAAATTTGCATAGATTACCATATATTAGGTAGAACTGGAGCTGCAGGTCAGAGCCCCTCTGTATGCAACACATCTAACAGATGAGGTTCCTTGTTCACATTAATTCTCAAAACCCAAAATAGTAGCCATAAATCATGCCAGGACTCTGTCAAGTTTTATTTGTAAGTCCTTGCAATGTCAGTAGAATACAATGCATTGCTCCCTACTCTGTGTTTGGTTGTTGAGACCATATAAAGGAGTCAGGCCTTTTGTGGCAGCAAGAATTTCAGCAAATGCTCTCAGCTGGGTTTTCCACACCCACTGTTTCTCCTTGTCTTACAAATACAAGCTGGAAAGACTTGGTTTCTTTTGGCTATAAGCTTCATGCTAGCTTCCCGAGAGGAATGGTAGTAGACTTGCTGTTTGAGAGATTTAGAAACACTGAAATTAGTGGAGGACTATAAGAGAGAGAAGATGCAATAAGTGCAGTGCATACATGTAGAATCAGTGACTTCTGCTTGAAGTTTTTGTTGTTTCTGAGCTGCTGATGGAAAGAAGAGTGATTTGAATGGGGAAGAGCAGAGCAGTGACACCTATTGACAAAAGCATTTTAACAGCCAGGACAGTTTTATTTCATCTGTGGACACCTGAGCACTGTTCAGAGGACATGTGGAGCCCTCCACAGCCAAGCTGCTGGCAGTAGGCTTGCCTTTCTTAGTTACTTTTCACACTGCTTTTAGAAGCATCCCTTGGGATCTACAAAACAGAGTTTTGCAGCCATTGCTTTAGTAGCAGATGTAGCCAAGCTCAATTTTTCCCATATGGCTGGGAGATGTCTGGCACAGGGTCCCACTGGCCCAAGTCCTCATCTCCCTTGGCTTTCTGGGAACCATGCTGCACCACAAACACAGCCCTAGTAATACCTCAGAGTGGTTTGGTCTGTCTTGCCACAGACAGGGCAACCCCAGGAAGGCAGAAATGCCACAGGCTTGCTCAAGCAGCTTCTTTTCACAGTATACTGGCTGCAGTATAATAGGAGACGCTGTAGTGGGAAATTCTGCAAAATGTCTAGGTTACAGCTGTTCTTTAAGACTCAACTGTTGGCTTCCTCTGGTCTCTGCAGGAGGAGAATATGCCAAAGCCATTTCCCACTTTTTAACAGTTCTGCTGTTCTCACTAAAGATGTTTTGTTTCATTTAGGCAAACCACATTGCCCCTCCTAGTCTCTATTCCACCTCCTCCTTGTACCCAAAGGCTTCTGTTCTTCTGTATTATCTGTGTCAATTCCTGACATCCATCCTCCAGTACCAGGTTGCCTTCACCATTTGGTCTTCTCGTCGGGTAGGGGCATAGCCAGCCTTAGAGGTGAAAGGATCTGGATGCATAACATGCTTATGCTCCCTAAGAGCAAATAGAACAAGGTTGGGGTGATGCTGGCACATTTGCTACAAGCACAGGCAGAACCCGCAACACCGTCCTCACCAGTTGGGCACAGCCAGATATTGCAGTCCATTCTGAGGGTAACCTAAACACATTTGTGTCACAACATATTTCACATTAAGTGAGCAAAACCACTGAGAGAACAAGCCTGTAGTGGGACAACTGTGGATGAAAGCAGCTAGACTGCTACCAGGCTTTGTTCCAAGGACAGTAAATGCAAAAATAAGGGCAATCAGGATGCAAGGGAAAGACTCAGATCAGGGGCAGAGACATTATCACAATTTCTGTCTGTTGAAGAAAAATGGGAGTTCTGCGTTATTAAGAAAAAAGACATTACTGAAGAAAAAGCTGTAGTGACTTTTTTTAGACAAATAAATAGCACCACAAAGTGTTCTTCTAGATCCCCTGATAGTGCTTTGTTCACTCAAGGTATAGTAACAATGATCAGTGAATATACATGGAGCAGTGACTTGAAAACTGAAGAGTGAGCATGAAAGTCAGCACTTCTGATATCTGTATGGGCAAACTGCTGCTGCTAGATCACAGCTTCAGTTCCAGGCATCTTTGCTTCTTTGCTTCATTCCTACATGCTTTAGGAGCAGAGGGATGATCCCAGTGCTATGAGAAAGGGTATTGTATTTTGCAAGTGGATCCCATTTTCTCAAGTCCTCTGGTGCAGCAGGTTGGAAATGCTGCATCAGTTTAAATGTTAATTTCTTTAGTCTTGTGTTTCAGTGAGTACAGTAAGAAAATACAACTGGTCATGAACCTATATATTTGCTTTGTGATAACATCTGATATATTTTACTCTGAGCCTGCCCATCTTCAATGTGTGGCAGGCCTACTTATTGCTAAATTTTTAATGGCTTCCTGAAATTTTCTAAGCAGAAGCAGAAAAATATTTCAGGTAGGTAGAGAGTAGTTGGAGCATGGATGAGATGGATTATCATCTTTAGATTTATGTTTCCCATACTTTTAGTGAAGCATCGTTGTGCTTCATTGTGTGTTGTTAAAGATCAGTTCTTCATTTGGGAGAAAACCTGAGCTAACCCACTGAACAAGGAGATTTTCATCACTCTTATGGTTCCCATCTACTGAACACAGAATCTTACTCCATTTGCTCATTTTGGTTGATCTTATTTTAAATATGAACCAAAGTCTTTGTGTGATTTTGTGGATGAAGCAACTCTGTTGTGAACTAGGTACCATTGTATTAATGCATTTTCCTTATCCTAGAAGTTCTGAAGCCTGTATTCCATTTCACAAACTCTCTCAGGCAACTAAAGGTGCAAAGTCATCAACAACCTTTGTAACACTTCTGATGAAGTGAAGTCATTATAAAATAATGGGATTCAAAAAGTGGTAGTCTGACTAGCCTCTTACACTGCAACCACCAGCTCATATTTCTGATATTACTAAATTTAGGACTGAGACCTCAGAAGTGCTGTGTTGTGGGGGCTGGGTAGAAAGACCAGATCCCTGATTTCCAATAGTACAACAGTAGCAGCAGTGATCCTTTGCCTTCCATTAACCTCCATCTCCTTCTTCCTCATTGGTAGTGTCAGGTACTCATTGCTAGGAAAAAAAAGGTGCAACACAAAAACGAGCAATCCAATATGACAAGAAGTGCTAGAAGAAAAGGTTCACCAGAGTGAAGTGTGGAGTGTCCCCACTGTTTTTTCTCCAGGGAGGAGCATGTTCCCAAGGCTTGTCCACAGTTCATCCCTGTGAAACTGCTCAAAGCTACCCAGAGACACAGTCCGCTTCCTCTGAATTGCACCCATCTAAACCTCTTCATCAAAAAAGGAGGACTTGCAAGGAAGTGAAATGGGGAAAGACTATAGCTTTGTCCTATACTATGTGTGGTACTAAGCTTTACTGTGTGGTTAACAGACAACATTTAATTATTTCAGGCTCGTCGTTCCCAATAAGGGCTATTCGTCATTAGACCAGAGTCCAGATGAAAAGCCACTGGTAGCCCTGGATACGGACAGGTATGCAAAGTGTTAATAAGATATATATTACCATACAAGCAAGTTTTCATGCCAGAGTGCAGCACTGAAGCTAA